ACCCCCACCCCCCTCCCCACACAAGCATGTTATCTGGGCCTTCCGGGCTCTCCTCGCTCCCACGAGCCAGGCGGGATTTCGGGCTACGCCTGCAGCAGTGAGGCCAACGGGCTCCTTGCAATCGCAAAAACAGAAGGAGTCCTGTCAAATCTGGCCATGCGGTTTGATACATGTCTGGTGGCCCGGCCCCACGCCACGGGGTCCTTGCACACGGCTGCAGGCCCCTCACTTATCCATACAGCCTCGCCCGACCGGCAGGTTAAACACACTCGCTTCCCGTGACCCCGCGAGCTGTGATGGAGAGTTCAAACAATTCGCGAGGGCAGCAGGCCAGGCGCACTTCCCCACCGCGAGGCCGCACCGAGGGCCCATAAATCAGGCAGGCTCGAAACAGCTCCTTTCAATTACTTAACCCGGTCAGTAATTGCGTTTATCGACAGATTTATACCGCGGGCGCAGACATTGCCCCGGAGCCCCGACACGCTTAAACATGAGCCTCCCCACGCGCCGATCGATGGCCGTCCGACGTCGCCTCCGCCCGTCGGAGGAGAGGGGCACGGCTCACCGCTCCCGCAGGCACGTGCCGGGGAAAGCATTGGCATCTTGTAGATTGGGCCTTGACAGTCAACAGGCTCGGGGTCGGCCAGTGCCAGGGTTGGGGAAGCGAACCCCGGAGCGGAGCGCGCTGACCATCAGAGGCACTCGACCCCTGGGACTGGTATTTGCAGCCGGCCGTGGGCCGCGGGCAAGAGCCGGAAGGGGCCGGGGGGCTGGCTGCTGCAGGAGGGACCCTGCACTCTTCGCACGGGCCCATCAGCAGCAGCGTGCCAGGAGCTTCCCCTGAATCAAAGAGGCTCGCACCAGCTTTCACGACTCGTATCCCACGGCACGCCAGGGCGTACAAGCCCCCAAAGAAAACCTGCCCGCGCTCCAGAAACGAGCCCTCACCATGAGGCTGCTCGGGGGTCCCTGGTCTCGGGGAAGTCCTGCTCCACACCGCTGTCAGGCTATGGTTTGGGGGTCTGCCCCTGCTGCAATCAGCTGGCCTGCCAAACCAGCGGCACGAGCCACCTGAGAAGGAGCCCTGCAGCTGCTCCGGAGGCCCGTGGCCCTGGGTACCACGCTGCGCTGGCACCCTTCCGTTAACCCCGCAGCCCAGGCTGCCACCTCACCCCACACCCGTGAAAGCTACCTCCACCCGCTGAGGCCGTCGCCGAGGGGCGAGCGCGGCAGGGTTGGTTTTCATGCCGCGACTAGCTGGGCTGGGAAACCGCGAGATCCTCAGAAGAGACGCCCTGGGGGGACACGAGCAGGGCCAGCCAGGCCCCCTCGGTTGCTGCTCTGGGCCGGCGACGGAGACGTGCTCAAATCACGCTGCGAGACGCCGCTCGGCAGGTCCGAGCCCGCCCAGCCCCAACCGGTCTGCAGTTGGGCCTGTCCCCTCGCTCTACTGCTGCCCCTTGCCCTCAGAGGGAGAAGCCTCCCGCAGTCCTGCCCCTACCCTGCCCCGCTCTCTCCCGCGGGGCCTGGCTTGCACGCTTCATGGGAGCGCTCGTCCCACAGAAAACAGGCCCGGCGTCATCAACCCGGGCACCCATCCCCCTCTTCGAAAGCCCTTGCTGCTTGGCCAAAGAGCCGCTCTGTCCTCGAGGGAGACGGGGCCACGGACAAAAGGCCGCCGGGGGCCGCGGGCGCTAACGTAGCTCGGTGTCCGGGCCCCAGGCGGGAGCAGGAAGGGCTGGCCATGGGCAGCACCGACACCCACTGCCAGGGCCTTGGGTGTGCCCACCAGGCGCCGTCCCCAGACCCACCGCGTCAGGAAAATGCCCGGGGCGTGCCAGGATGCCGCGGCTCCCGCAACGCGCACTATCATCTGGCATGCTACCCGTCGCTATCTCCAACCTGCCAGGCGAGGCTGGACGCGGGGTCTGCCAGCCTCTCCTCTAGCAGGACGGGCATCCGGAAGGATCGGTGCCGACTGGCAGCAACGCAATGTCGGGCGCTTGCTGCTGGCCCTTCCTACTCCTGCCGAGAGGTTCGCGACCATTTGCACAACGTGCTTGATAAGAGCCGGCACTTTCGGAGTTTCTCTTCCCCCCGGCCTCCATATGTTCAACTCGTTAGCCCAAACGGGCTCCCGGGTGAGGCAGCGCTGCGTACAAACAGGCCGCGGGCTTCTGGGGCCCTACGTCACCCCATCCTGGTCCGCGCCGTATCTGCAAGGTCTGCCTTTCCGGCCCGGGCACTGCCACTCGCATCCACGACAGACCTTTTCCGCTTCGCTGGGGAAGCATCATTCTCACGCATGGCGCACCGGTTTCAGGGACCTCCCAAGGGAGCTCTCCCCCTGGCCGAGCACGGCGGCATGCTCCCAGTCGAAGAAGTCCCACGGTCAGGCGGCCCTGCGCTTTGTGCCACGTCACGGCTGGGATGCACCCCAGGGAGGCGTGCCAGGGCAGGTCAGCTGCGTCATGCCGGCTCCTTCCCAAGCGCTCGCCGGCACAGATGCAGCGTCTGTCAGAGCTTGCGTGCCCCATTCTTCCGACAGGTCAGAAACGGGGCTGCTCGACGACACACCGCCTATTGTCCGAGCCCCCGTGCAACAAACAGAGGAAAGGCCGGCTCGAGGCATTTCCTGCCTGCGGGAGCCGCGGGCTGCCAGTACTTCTGTCCACCCCGTCCAGCCGGCTGCACTGGGTGGCCCCGGGGCCTGCCTTCCCGGAGAGCACGCGTCTCCACCACCCGCTTTAGCCCGCACCTCTCCAACTCCCCCATCCAGAGCACCAGGGCCAGGCTCAGCAAGCGGGCCCCTGCACCCAGCCCGGGAAGGAACGGCTCCCCCCGCTCCCCACCCCAGAAAGGGCTGGCAGCCAAGCCATGACGCAGCCGGGCCGAGTCCCCGCCCGTTTGCGAGCCAGGGGGATCCTAGCCTCGCCAGTTCTCCGTGAGCTGCCACGAGGCGTCTGCCTGCCTTTGCCCTCCGCTGCCAGGTGCTTGCCACCGGAGGTCCGCAGCATCCCCGTGGCCTCACAAGGCCTGGCATCATGTCACAAGGCCTGGCACACTCGAGCCCAGACCGGCCAGGAGCTCCCCGCGCCTCAGGCTGTGACAACGCACTGGTAGAGCCTGTGGCCCTGCTCCATCACTTTGGGTTTTCCTGGCCTCCGTTCGCTTTCTTGGTCTTTTCCCCTGCCTGTCTGCCCGGGGGGCTACTGACCTGACCTAGCTCTGGTAGGAGGGGGTGGATCCGGCTTCCCCATTGCTCTGGGCTCTGACCGCATGGCACGGCATGGGGGCTGGGCTCAAGCCCGTGCCGCTCCAACAGGGCATGCCAACCGTTTCCAAATTGACCGGTCGGCCTCAAATCGCACCCGTCCCTGACCGGGTCCGAGGGAGGAGGTCTGGAGGGCCACTTAAGAGGTCCCCCTGGGTTGGAGGGGGCAGCCATCCTCTGGGCACTGCCGCACGTCACGCATCTGAGCTTTTGCCCGTAAGTCATGTCCGGGTGCTCTAGACATGTGCCAAAAGGGCTGGTGAGCCCCTGCTACTGTTTTGCTTGAGGCTGCTTTTTTGCACCGTTCCTGGGCCTTGGCATGCTGCCCCTCCCCAATCCATGCCGCTAGCTATTGCAGCAGGCCTGGCAGACAGTGTGTCGGAGGGACCGGGCCAGGCCTCTTGCTCCCTTGGCTCGGCTGACCCCAGGAGGCTACTTCCAATGCTTCAGGCTCTAACAAGCATCCAGATCTACCCTGCGGGGGCTAAGCAACCCCTCGGTCTACGGGCCAGCGGACCTTGTGCAGCACAGCGCCCAGCACAGACCGGAGCTTGGGTAGCGGCAGGCTTGCAGGCGTGCTCCAGGCAGGGGGTCTGGCCAGAAGCTGGCACCCCGGGGAGGCACCCGCAGCTCGGTTACCACCCCACTGGCCAGACAGGGCTGCCGTCTAGAGGACAGCCGGCGGGGCGATCCCAGCCAACTGGCCTGGGGCCTCAGCGGGTGCAAAGCTGTGGGGCACGACGGAGCCACAGCCTCGTTCTCCAGGGCCCGGACAGGTCTTCCTCATCACGGGCCACACGATGCAGCTAGCGGGATGAGCTGGGACACAGGCATGCACTTCACGGGCCCCGCGCAGCTCTGCAGATGCAGAAAGAGGAGGCCGTGACTCCAGATGGGGGGAAATGCATCTATTCCTAGGAAGGACCTCCCCTGACCCACGCAGTCTGCTCGGGGCAGGGGACTCCTCTCCCATTCTTGCCGTTCGGCCGAAAAGGGCCGCTTCCGCAGAGGCCTGCCGACTCGCACGCAGCAACCTCGAGGGAGGGAGGACTAACGCTCTGCTTACAGAACCGCTCAACGCAGGGCTTGTCGTAGCTCAGCGGGCGCGTGTCCCGTGGGGAGCACACATGCACCTTCCTCGCTCCAGCAGCCACCGCTGAGGCAGGAATGACAGTCCGGCCAGGGCAAACCAGCTCTCTCTTTGGAGCAGGCACTCTGCCCTCCCTCTCACATGTGCGCCCTTTTTGGCCCAGCTTGCAGGGCACAGCCGACACCATCTCCACGCTGCTCTCCAGAGCGGCCCGGTGTA